AGATGGATCCCATGTCAGGCTTTGACATTCGTCTTGTGTTTACATTACCGCCCAGAGACAGTACACTGCAGTACAAAAGATGTGTACACTTCTGAAATAACTTTCCTTGCATTAAATCCTTGATATATATTATATATACATAGAAGACTAATTTGACTATTCCTGGATGTATGTGAGTTTATGTATTGGTGTGCAGACCATCTATGCTGATGATGATATATAAATAGAAATATACCACAAGTACCTAAAACATTTCAAAAAATATTTATCATTATTTTTACTATGAAAGTCACTGCTCATGTTATATATTCTGTAGCTATACTTACTTAAAATTAATGTTTTCATCAAATAAAATTTGAATAAGCACTGACAATTTTTGAAAATTAAAAATAATTTAAACTAAACTAAGGTGAAATTTTTTTTAGTGCACCAACAAATTCGTTGTGTCGAAATTTAGATTATCTAAGAATTTACAAAACTATAGCTTTCTACGGTTGCCCCTAACTTTATTCAATTTATTTCCTTAAGTTCCATTTGCGTGGTGAATGTTGAAAAATAATACATCATAAAATTGACACATATTTCCCAAAAAGAACAATCTTTTTATTCTCAACTGGTGCTCAGGGTAAAGTTTAGATAAAGTTTGCCGCTTGCATTTAGGAATTTACACAGCTTAGTAGTAGAGTATAGCATATTATGTATACCAAAGGCCACAGACACGGGCAGCCTTTATGCTTCATATAGGTTGAATTTACTTTTACTGGAGGGGCAAATCTGCGTGCAGAAACCTCCAGATGCCCGATATGTGTTATTCTCCAAAATGTTTAGAGTTGTGCAAATTTTCTCAAAAATTGGAGAGGATCACTTACGCTTTCTAATTTTTGGCTGGCTTAAAAATGAATGACCCCTTGATTGATCAAATCAATATTTTTACTATTGGTCTCGGTTTTTTGCACTTTGTTTATGTGCTGAGGTCAAATTTGTAAATGACTGACCTGCAATCTCAGAGATAAGAAAGCTAAGAATAATAAGGAGAAAGCTGTATCCATATCTGTAACTAAACATCGGGGGAACCAAGGCAGACCTAAGATAAGAAAGCTAAGAATAATCTGGAGAAAGCTATGAGTGATGAGGAGAAAGCTAAGATTAATGAGGAGAAAGCTGTATCCATATCTCTAACTAAACATCGGAGGAACCAAGGCAGACCTAAGATAAAAAAGCTAAGAATAATGAAAAGAAAAGAATAATCAAGTGAAAGCTATGAGGTATGAGGAGAAAACTAATAATAATGAGGAAAAAGCTATGAGTGATGATGAGAAAGCTAAAAATAATGAGGAAATAGCTATGAGTGCTGAGGAGAAAGCTATGAGTGATGAGGAGAAAGATAAGAGTAATGAGGAGAAAGCCGTATCCATATCTGTAACTAAACATCGGGGGAACCAAGGCAGACCTGAGATAAGAAAGCTAAGAATAATGAAAGGAAAAGATTAATCAAGAGAAAGCTATGAGTGATAAGGAGATAACTAATAATAATAAGAAACCGCTATGAGTGATGAGGAGAAAACTTGAAATAAGGAGTAAAAAACTAATAATAATGAGGAAAAGGCTATGTGTGATGAGGTGAAAGCTAAAATAATGACGAGCAAGCTAATAATAATGAGGAGAAAGTTAAAAATAACGAGAAAAACAGTTGAAAACACTTTTTCCAAATGGATTAACATTAATATATTTAGTAGGAACCTAAATTTCCATTTACGTATTTTAAGCTTTGATTTTTATTGCACAGTAAACTAAAGTAATCTCATATTTTTCAAGTCATAACTCCTCTCACATAAATTTCACTAGGATGAGATCATTTATTTGGCGTACGCCGTACAGTCCCGTTTTGCCTCATATATATTGTCTGTATTTGTACTGTACTGGTTTCCCTGGCAAGTTATAATTCGGCCCGGTACATAAAATGAACTGGGATGTATCGTGCTCTTACCAAAGAGCTATTTAAAGGAACACAAATCCTTAATTTACTCACATTTGTTTTAAAATAAAAAAGTAGCTACGAGGGCTCAAAGTTTTACCAATAATATCGCATAAATTTGACCATCTCTCTCGGTCTAGTTCGCAGTGCTTTGTTTGATGTTATGGCTTAATCAGGATAAGGAAATGTTTACTTAAGATAAAAAATAGTTTTCTATCAGGATGTATGTGTGTTCAGTGTGCACATTACCCGCCTTGAGGAGAAAAATCTTCTGAAATTTATGTCTTTTTTATTGAAAGATAAACTAGTGTGCCCGCAGGTGGTTTATTTATAAATTGAATTGGAAAATATAAAAATGCAAAATTTATTCTGAATATAGTTAATATAATTTATTCTACTGCATACAATATACAGGATTCTTTGGGGGAAAGGAAGGATTTTGTTAAATATCCATATTAGTAAGATTTCAAAATATTGAAAATAAGACTTGACACATCTTTTGCAATCTATCAATGTTATGATTCACTTAAAAAAGATTTTTTATTTTTACGAGTTTTTTAATTAATTTTGATCATGTATCATTAAGGGTTTTCATTGTGAAGGTTGACTACTAGTTGATTAAAAAATATAGAATTTGTATTTTCAGGAAAAAAAAAAAAAAGTTTTTAGGATAAAGAAATTCATTTGTAATTGTAAATAACATTTAAGTACTGAGGTTGTAGTATTATTGAGAATTTTTTTAGGATTCATTTGATACCCTATCAGACGTTTTATTGTGCATATATTTGTCCAGCAAAAGCGCAAATGACATCTTTAAAATCCTAATAAATTGTCGATTTTTGAGGGATGATTTTGAGAATCTCTCTTATATAATTTATACAATGACGACCACGAAAAATGTTAACAAATTTTCCATTGGCTTATTTGTTTTTTAGGGACCAGTTTTGGAAAAAAAATTAACTCTTATCATCGAAGATAAGTAATCTTATTCAGTTATTGGTTTCTGTAATGTCTCAATGTTCCAAACCATTTTCTGTAGATTTCATGGAATTTGAAAAAAAGACGACATTGCCAGTCACTCTCTTTAACTCTGTGAGTTGGTTTGAATTTACTCTGGTTTGGTTTAAGAGTGTTGTGAGTTTGGTTAAGTTTACTCTGGTTTGGTTTAAGAGTGTTGTGAGTTTGGTTAAACTTACTCTGGTTTGGTTTAATAGTGTTGTGAGTTTGGTTAAGTTTACTCTGGTTTGGTTTAAGAGTGTTGTGAGTTTGGTTGAGTTTACTCTGGTTTGGTTTAATAGTGTTGTGAGTTTGGTTAAGTTTACTCTGGTTTGGTTTAAGAGTGGTGTGAGTTTGGTTAAGTTTACTCTGGTTTGGTTTAATAGTGTTGTGAGTTTGGTTAAGTTTACTCTGGTTTGGTTTACGAGTGTTGTGAGTTTGGTTAAGTTTACTCTGGTTTGGTTAAAGAGTGTTGTAAGTTTGGTTAAGTTTACTCTGGTTTGGTTTACGAGTGTTGTGAGTTTGGTTGAGTTTACTCTGGTTTGGTTTACGAGTGTTGTGAGTTCGGTTAAGTTTACTCTGGTTTGGATTAATAGTGTTGTGAGTTTGGTCTGTGTTTTTGCTAATGTGTTCCAAGGCTAGGAATTTAATTAACATGAATACTTTCGATGAAAACAGAATTACAGGAATCACAGGAATTTTGGGAATTACTTTTGTATATTGCACATTGTACTGTACTGTATTGTACACCATTTTGTAATGTTTTTTTAAATATTTTTAATATTTTTATCCTTTTTTTGTCAAATTCTTTTATACTTTCATCAGCAATAATTTCAGAACTAAATTATAAATGCTCTTAATAATGTAAATTTTAAAAAAATAATTTACTTTTTATCAAAAATATGTACTTTTAAAGAGTTTGTTCTTTCCGTGGTAATTAATCTCATTTTGTTTTTATAGGTTTAACATTTTTAACCCGTCCCCCGCCCTTAAAAAACTAATTTTCTTCAAAATGAACAAATTTTTTTTTTAAATAAGAGAAATAGAATAATTCAAATAAATGATAAGACTTGATAGCTGCAGTCTAATTTTTCATTTTCATTCATCTTCGACATTTATTTACCCTGTCCAAATGGGGGAGGGGGAACACATTTTCCAATATCTTTTTAAGTCTTCAAAAACCTTGACTCAATCATCTTAGTCAGCATTTAGTATGTAAATTAAAAAAATATAAAATATTTACCTTGCTTGAAGTTTATTGCCAATCAAATTTGAGACAAGGCTCAAACTTAATCATGGTTGGTTCAGCTTTAAATTGTATTCAGTGTTACGAGATATGAGTAGGGGCTCAAATAGAACCGGTTTGGGGCGGTTCTGCGACGCAGGTTAAATTCTTTAAATTCGGCCTCAGTATAAAATAAAACCCTTTCGGTAAAAGGAGTGCTCAATAAATCACAATGACGGGCAGCCGTAGTACATTTGAATTTCCTAGCCGGGTTAACTCATTAGCCGGTGCAACAAGATTGACGCGGTCAGACATTAGGTTGAATTTACTTTTACTAAAGGGTCAAAGGTGCTTGCAAAAGATATTTTTTAGAGATTGGCTTTAAATAGACTAAGCTCAACAATATTTGTATCAAATTATCTTTTCAGAAACATTTCATTTTCTTGAACAGTCCCTTTACTACGAAATATTCAAGTATTCCTGTATAAATATTGTTGACTAATCTGTTGTGAAGCTTTGTTCTATGTAAGATTATTTTATATGAAAGTTAGTCGAGCATTATCATACAAATTATTTTCTTAGTTCAGCTTAAAAATATTTATATGCACACCAACAACATACAAATATAGAAACACCCAAACAAATGTAAGCTTAGACATAAACAAACTTTGTCGTGGGCATCAAAACAGGACAAAGGAATTGAGCCTTTGCCGCTAACTCTGACTTTCTAATATAATCCCTATATTAACTATAAATTTGTTAGATCAAAACGCCTAAGTTTAAAATATCAAAGGTTTAGAACCTAAGATTGCAAAGATATAAAGATTCAAAAATTTGAATTTGTGACAAAACTCAACTTTTTTCATATTTTTTCATAAACATAGAAGCACAAGATCCCCTAGTTAGTTTAAAACATAGAAGCACAAGATCCCCTAGTTAGTTTAAAAAAGAAAACCTCTAAACACTTAATGTGACAATGCACTCCTTTGCCCGGAAAGGTTTGTATGAAAAATAAACAGGAATTTAAAATGTGTATTTACTTTTCAAACTGATCATCATACGCTTCAGTTTTTTTAACATTTCTAATTTTGGAGTAAAACACGAAAGAAATAGAATAAGATTTGTATCAGTCAAAATATTGTTTCGGTTTTGGTGTTAAAAGTAACGAAATTGAGACATCCATGTATTTTCTTTCAATTGATAAAGAAAGTTTATGAAAAAATCGATTGGGAGAAAACTTTTTAAAAATTTTTTAAAATCTTTTTTTTAGCTTTTTTAAAACATTTTTTTACTTTTATTTTTTAAAGATAATTAAGTATTAATTAGAAAGTGTACTTAGATCAAAAGAAATAAAGATTTACTGCTTTTGAAAACATAATCTAATAACCAAAGAGAATAGAATATATATTAGAGTGGAATTTAGACAATCCCTCGGTATGAACTTTGTCAGTCCCTTTCAGCCTGAAAGGGAGTTCAAAGTGTACAATTCATGTAAATGTTCACAAATTATATGCAGTATTTTTGGTTTTCTTTTAGTATTAATTTTAGATTTTCTATCGAATAATGTTCCAGGGCATAAAAGGTTATATAGCGCAAATATATGAAGTAAACATGTAGTATGGAAACAGTACAAAACAATGACCGTTTTACACTTTTTTTTAGTAAATTTCCCTCTAATATATATTCTATTCTCTTTGATGATAACTCAAAATTACAAGAGATGAAAGGTTTTTATTGGGTAAAAATCTTGTTACATTCACTTACCTCCAAGTATGAATATTATCCCAGATATGAAGGTAAATACTTTTTTCTTTCTGTCAAATTTTAAATTCATTATCAATTTTGCCCAAATATTAATTATTTTTAAATTCATTATCAATTTTGCCCAAATTTTGATTATTTTTAAAATGGAAGCAAACTGTTTGTACTCTACTGTTTTTTTTTTTGATAAGAATTATATTTTTCCTGATGAAAAGTCCTGCAAAACAGAAATATTCTGCCACCAGTAACATTATACAGGATACAAGGATATATCCACTACTGTTCAACATAGCATCTAAAGTACAATAAATTTATAAAGTATGTACAATATTTGATACATAATAACATCTAAAATACAATAAATTTATAAAGTATGTACAATATTTGATACATAACAGCATCTTTAATACAATATGTATATGCTTATGGCATTACATATTGCATAATGGCATCTAAAATACCAAATATATATATGTAAATGTACAAGACATAATACTGCATTGAATAGCATCTAAAATACAATGACTTTATATGTATTATGTACAATACATAATTTATAATAGAATCTTAAATATAATTGATATATTTATGTAACAATACATAGTTTATGTATTATTTGTGGTATTTTCATCAAATAAAAATTTAATTCGGTGTGATTAATACGGGTTTGCCATATACAATATAACAGTAAATAAATATAATGTTTTTAAAAGTTGATAGTATCTTATAGTTTTACTTTTAATTTGCAGCTTCCTTTTGTGTGTTGATATATAGACGGAATACTATACAGAAAGAGTGTAGGAATGTTGCATTTATAAATACAGTTTTTAAATCAAAGCATTAAATTTAAAATGTACAAAACATGCAAGATAGTTTAGTTCTAAACATTACTTTATAAGTTAATATATTTCTAGAACATTCTTTGGAAATTAATCAAACTCTGAGAAATGTAAAGAAAATTCTTTTACAAATTTGCTCACCGTCAATTCAAAGTTTAAATTAGTTCCTTGTGCTTGTTCATTTCTTATTCACTTTTGTTACAATTGTAATAGTTTAAATTCATTTCTACTCGGCTCATTGAACCAGCTGCATTGTGTTAAATTAGGATTTCTTTGCATAATTAAACTTTTCTTCAAGAATAATATGTGTCAACTATTGGATCGTCTTCTTTACTACGCGGCAGATGCACGACATTTTACTTACGTGGAATGGCATTGGTTGAATCTGCATCATCAGCTCTATATTCTTCAACGGGAAAATAGTTTATTGAACCACAGCTGTAATTAGATCCGCTTACTAAAAAAGAATAAAATGTATCATAAAATGCATCACATTCTTGTTGATATCATGATATCCATGTATCATGAACTTTTCCAGAATAAATAGAATTTGCAGCTATCAATCATGACTCTAAACTTCTTAACAGTTGCAACCAAGTTTCCACGTTGCTACAAATGTTAAAAATAAAAAATATAGATAAAATTTAAGTGGAACAATTATGAATTTGAAACCTGCGCCTGGTAAATATGTTATTTTTGTTACGCAAACTGCAGTTTAATTTAACAGAGTAGCTTAACTTAAAAGTGTGTTTTTATCAGGAGAGTTCATCGGTATTTTTAACGTGAGAGACCATAGCTAGAAAAGCAATTGTATTGGTATAGTTTAACGTTATAATGCAGTTTTACCAGTGAAGTTTAACAGGAATACGAATTTTTAACAGTGTACTTAAACGTGAAAGAGAAGTTTTTACAGTGAAGTTGAACGAGTAAGAGCAATTTTACAGTGAAGTTGAACGGGAAAGAGCAATTTATACAGTGTAGTTTAAAGTGTAAGAGCAGAATTACAGTGTAGTTTAACAGTGTAGTTTAACGTGAAAGGAAAGTTTTTACAGTAAAGTTGACAGTATGAGAGCAATTTTGCAGTGAAGTTTATACAGTGTAGTTTAAAGTGTGAGAGCAGATTTACAGTGTAGTTTAAAGTGTAAGAGCAGATTTACAGTATAGTTTAAAGTGTAAGAGCAGATTTACAGTGTAGTTTAAAGTGTAAGAGCAGATTTACAGTGTAGTTTAAAGTGTAAGAGCAGATTTACAGTGTAGTTTAAAGTGTAAGAGCAGATTTACAGTCTACGTTTTGGATGATAGAGAAACTAATTTCTTTGCAAACAGTTTTAAGTTTTAAACAATGACACACTTTAATGCAGTTGAAGAGTTAGAAGAAAATATTGCATTTGTTTCCGATCACACCAATAACAACATGTTTCAAAATGTTGCTTAAAGGGACTGCAGACGTAGTTTCAAGAGAACTCTATTTTGAGAGTGCCAAGTTCGATTGACAACAGTTCCTATTTCTTATCAAGAATGAATAAGGAATTAATCTCTTTTCTTTAATAGTTAATCATTTTAAAACTATTTTTAATGTTTAAATAAATAATAATAATAATTGTAGGACTTGCGAATTTCTGTGTTTTAGAAACAATTCGGAGGAAATTCTTGAAATTGAACACTTTTGATTACAGGTCAATTGAATTTAATTTGGAAGACAGTCCCTTTAATTTTCTTATTAAAAGCTACATTACTATATGTGTCATGTTGGTAAACTTTGCAAAAAATGTGAATTTGAATTTGAAAATCTAACATTTTAATAACAAAAGTTTTACAATGTGAGAATTTACATGACATGACGTTTAAATGAAAACACCTTATTAAATAAGGAAAGTTTTTTCATGATAATTCAAATGTCATGACGTTTAATTGAAAACACCTTAACAATAGTTCTACTCTTATAATGCGTGAATGTTCACAAATATCATCTAGACAACTTTAAAATTTATCTAGCAATTTTTAAACTCCTTGACTTAAAAACCACTCTTGTATGCCGAGTCCATTAGTGTCTGATCCAATCGGGGTACAGTCATGTGTTTGGTGTCTATTCTGAACCAATAGAAATAGTACTGTGGTAACAACTATCTTTCTATCTATTGCATTATCCAATTAGAGATATGAATCCTTAAATCGGTACTAACAGTAAATGAAAATATTTACTTCTACTGAAACTATGGTGAAACGTAGGGACGGCTCGGGCTTCATGGGTCACCAGGATAACCCTACTCATTGCATTGTAATACTGCAACGCCTTGTTTCTAGCTTAAATTTATTTTTTTGCGTGAGATCGTGTACATCTCGTGTACATTGCGTATACATTGCATGAGATCGTGTACATCTCGTGTACAATGCGTGTACATTGCGTGAGATCGTGTACATCTCGTTTACATTGCATGTTCATTGTGTGCGATCATGTACATCTCGTGTACAATGCATGTACATTGCGTGAGATCGTGTACATCTTGTTTACATTGCATGTTTATTGTGTGCGATCATGTACATCTTGTGTACATTGCGTGTACATTGCGTGAGATCGTGTACATCTCAGTTTGCAGTGCATTATAGTTTTAGGGATGTAGAATTGAGTGTAGAAGTAGCAAAGGCCTCATATTTCTAAACATTCATGTTTTTATTATTTTAATCAGGTTGCCCCACAATAATCCTTCAATCAAACCTATTACATAAATTAACTTTCATTTTAAATATCCAAAATGTTGGCTCTTGGAGACTGCAAGCGTAATTTCAATTGACCCTCTTTGCAAAGATGACAATTCCCTATTCACAACGGTACCCATAAAAGCTTTGTCTGATCAAATATGAATTAGATTTTATTTATTAATTAGAAAAACTAATTGTTAATTGCTATTTCTCTACAATTATTATGTGAATTATCAAAATTATCAAAATTCAATGCTTTAAACCTCCTCGGATACTAAACGAACACAGAGGCATCTATTCTTGTTTACAAATTCCGCCCAGAGAGAACTAGTTTCAATATGTACGCAGAGTATACACAACTGCAATTAACTTTCCTTGCATTGCATTCTTGGTTGTATCTCGATTATGACATATTTTCGAATTTAAAGGATTGTATCTGGATTGATGCAGACTTAAAGTACTAATGGAGTAAGGTATTTGTTACATGCAGTTACTTCAAAATGATGAATTAGGATGCCCAAGTAAAAAGTTGAGAAACCAAAAATAAAAAGATTTAAAAATTCTTTTTTATTATTTTCTCAAGAATGAATATGACAATTTTGTTGTACTGTCTCTGTAACTGTATAAACATGTAACGAACTGCCTACTGTATATATTATCATAAATGAATGGTTTAATAAGGAAAGATTTATGTATTTATATACAACTGTTATGACGAAGTAATCTATCTCTCAGGACATAATGAAAAAGCAAGAACATTATACTAGGATACATTTCATGCATTCTTAATGGGTCTTGGATAATGAAATTCGAAAAAAAAGAAAATTTAAATTTTTCCGTCTCTTCTAGACACACTTTTAGCCCCCTACCCCCAAAAAAAGATAAAGTGCAGATACAAATGAAATATCACTGTACATTTTACATATATATTTAAAAAAAATGTTTTCTATGGATTTGTAAATATTTGAAACGAAAAATTTTCATAGACAAATTGAAAAAATAAACATCTTTTACCCCCCCCCCCCCCCCCAGAAAAAGTCCAATGAAAAGGAGATATTTATTTTCTGTGACTCCCAGAGAGGGAATAATAATATTACTAAATTAAAACAGATAACATGCAAAGCGATCAATAGGTTTCAAAGGTTCGTTTACAGTTCCTTTAAAGAAAATCAATTCCTAACTTAAAGTTTATCCAAGGAATATTTTCTCTGTAGAATTTTTTAATAGAGGTTTAAGTGTAGTTTTATGGATAAATATTTACTATCTGNGACTACAGTGCTTCTCTTTAAATATGAAATTACTAGAAATGTGAATAGTTTCGACTACAGTGCGTCCTTTAAATATGAAATTACTAGAAATGTGAATAGTTTCGACTACAGTGCGTCCTTTAAATATGAAAATACTAGAAATGTGAATATTTTCGACTACAGTGCGTCCCTTAAAACTTGACAAAGTTGGCAATGAATATTACTTTTAAAAACAGATAAAATTTCATATTATTGAATGAAACTTAAAAAGTCATATTTTATAATAGATAGAAAGAAGGCAGCCCAACTAGTGTGAAAATGAAACCTTCTTTTTTCAAAAATTTATGAAACTTGGACATTTTCCTCTATTTTTTACAATGCATAAATCCGCATGTTACTTAACAGAGAAACCACAATTAAACATAATCGTTGTTGGTTAAAAAAAACTAGGATATCTCATCTGTCATCAAAAAAAGGTTTACAGCTGTACGTTTGTAAGTCTAGGCATCCCACTTTATAAATGGAGGGTTACTTATTGGAAACTATGTCGACATTCACTTAAATTTTTTTTAGAAATAAAACCTAAAAAAATATTCTTTTCTTTTTTATTCGACTCAAGATTATTTCTTTCTAGAAATATGTTGATTAGCATAACATTTTTATTTCTGGGTTCAGGTCCACTCAATTTCTGTTTGTAGTGTTTTAGAAAATATTATAAATTCTGGTAGGAAAGGTTTAAAGCTCTGTATTGCCAAATCTAGAACATTTGAAGCAAACTTGAAAATCTAGTTTAAAGTATAATATCACAAGACTTTATCCAGATATATAAAGTTTTAAATTTGAGAGTGCTTTCTCCCTACTTTGTTAAGATGAAGGAATGTTTGTATAAAGGTAACGGTTTAAACGGTATAAACAACGACCTTCCAATAATGTAAAAAAGTATATGGAAAAAACACATATTAAATATCAAGGTTTTTAAAATTACATAATTAGATTGAAACTGTAAAACCCTAAAATGGACAATCAAACAGTGAGCCAAGAAGTTATGGCTGAACTCGTTCTTGATTTTTATTAAACAGTTGGTTCCATCGTTTGTTCTTTATTCGATCTTTTCCAAATCAATCCATTTCAGGCAATTTTGATCCTTTTCATTTTGATTAAAATTGTTGTTCCGTTTGTCAACGATTTTGTTGCTAACTCATGGCTACTTATCATGTATTTATGATGATAAAGAAATTAATCTTAAAATGTTTATTGTTAAAGGTGAGTGTAGGGTAGTAAAAGGGTGTGTACGTACTTGTTTTTGGTTGTTAACATTTGTTTTGAAAATGTTTTCAAGGCCCGTTCGTTCCACGTTTGTTAAGTTTAGTCGGTTGTAACGACGTGGTCGTCAATGGAAAATCCCGTGTGTTTTCATCAGCGACCGTTTCCTCCAAGGATGTAAGGCAAGGAAAGTCATTTCAGAAGTGTACACATCTTTAGTACGGCAGTGAACTGTCTCTGGGCGCTAATGTAAACACAAGACGGATGTCGAAGCCTGACATGGGATCCATCATTCACATAAAAAATCAATGCAATATTCTGATCATAGGAAATTATTATGTGAATTATCAAAATTATCAAAATTTAATGCTTTTAACCTCCTCGGATACTAAACGAACACTGATGCATCTATTATTGTTTACAAATTCCGCCCAGAGAGAACTGGTTTCAATATGTACACAGAGTATACACAACCGCAATTGCCTTTCCTTGCCTTACATTCTTGGTTTCCTCTGACTGTGTCCAGTTCGGTCCGCGTTTGTTAATTTTTGGTTGGTTCTAACCGCGCTCGTAAACTTTTTGAACGATGCGGTCGATAACGGGATAATCCAGTTTGTTTTCACATCCCATATAGTTTCCTTCTGTGACCAGCCCTAACACGATAGGAGTTTCCTTTCCCATCTTTACTCTTCCCACTCTAGGAGTTTTTATCTTTCTTAGTTTCATGTTTAGTCTCAGGAGGGTTTATAATAACATTCAAAGAAGATTCAGCTCCCCCAGGTCTAATAATAATTAGCTGAGTTATCCTTCTCTAAAGTTTACACCAAATTGGAGACCGAGGATCCAAGAGCGTGATACAGTGAGACCCATAAAACTATGGAATTGTCAGACGACTGTTCGCTTAAGTTATGATTATAAGTTGTCCAAAGAACATGAAGCACAGCAATTGTGCAGTGTACACAGACCCAGGACCGAATTTAATGAATTTGAACTTCTTACCGCGGGTTCAAATTTGAATCACCGATTCAAATATTTCCTTAATCTTAAACTTTAAAACAGTGGTTCAAATTTGAACCGGCAGTAGATAGTTCAGCGAAGTCGCTCAAATTCATTATTTTGTTTCAATTATTATTTTATTATACAGTAAAAACTATTTGTTTTAAAACAGCACAAACTATATCTACATAAGATCGATTGATGATACATAATATTGCATGATGTTAAACCAGAGCTGGAATCTTTTACATATTTACGCAATATGAGTTTAGCTCATTCTTCAATATGGAAAGTTAACTGATCTGTCATTGGTAAAATCCCAAGCTATATAGAGGAGTCGAGTTTAAAGCATTTAATACATTCAAAAGTTTCCAGCTCAGACTACTTTGGGTCCAATTAAAAAGCTTAAGGAAATAATATTAGGTGCAGGTCTTCATTTTTAAAGTGGCATATCAGATTCACGTTACCTTTGTCTGGTCGTGGATCAATGAGTTTCCTGATATTGCTTGCTGCATTTTTTTATTGTTTTATAGATTGTGGTTTCTCAAAAAAAAAATAATTTAAGGATTTATGCTGCCGAAGAGTTAGAAGGAAATTATTAGAATTTCTTACTTTTTAAAATAGAAAAACTCCCTCTCAGAAAAATGTGTATACTGTACTATCGTTAATCGGACATGCTATCGGTAGTTTTGTGTATGGGGGGAGGGGTATGAGTTGTAGCTAGGGGGCAAGGAGATGCATGGATGAATAAATGTGAGAATTAATATTAATCTTGAATGTTGATTTTGTCCGGCATTCAGACATTAAGTGTTTTCTTCCAGGTATAGACAAAACAGTTCAAGTTATAGCATTCATAATCCGGGAACACAGGGATTCAGAGAACACTTGGACACTAATAACCAAACATATATTAGCTTTATCGCCGAAATCTATCAAGATTTTTCCAAATACTCCCTTCAAACTGAAGCTAGAAACAAACGTACATTGTGAATGTCCATGGCTTCAAAAAAGTAATGCAATTGGTGAGGTAGAACCCTTGGACTAAATTTAATAAATAGCTAACAGTAGTTGAACTACGTAGACTAAACTCAAGAGAAGTGGCTCAACTTTGTTTACGTAGTTTAGTTACTACTTGCTATTCTACAATTTGGTTTATAATTTGGAAATCAGACGAATACTTAACAAATTGAAATAAACAAATGGGTTTATTAAATTGACTTATGTATGTATATATGAACAATGCTTGTAGAACAATTAGATCCAATAATTGTTTAGAAATATTTTTCTTACGCCGAAATTAGAAATTAATATCTTTACAGTCTTCCTAATAAACTTTTGAATAGCATTGTTAATTTAAACTCAATTGTTCTCATTAAATTCAAATCAAATATAATGTTAGCTAAGACCCTTTCGTATATAAATTTAATATGTAGAGAAAAATAAAATTTCTTGAAAGGAATTGTTAACAGATTTAGAATTTCACAGAACGCCCTAATATTTGGAGGGTAACAACTAGGCCTAATATTGGGAAGGTAACAACTAGGCCTAATATTGGGAGGGTAACAACTAATTCTAATATTGGGAGGGTAACAACTAGGCCTAATATTGGGAGGGTAACAACTAGGCCTAATATTGGGAGGGTAACAACTAGGCCTAATATTACATCTGAAAGATGTTACTTAAGCCCATTGAGGGCCTGAGTGATGGCAGGTGGTGAATAGTTTTGAATGTCTTCTTCTATTATACTATATTAAATATTAAAGACTTTTTGCAGTTTATTTAGTTAAAAAAAATCTTTTATTCAAATATATTTTACTTTGCAATCAATTTTTCTATAAAATGACTTCCCAAATTTAATGTTATATTTTTTTTCTTTCTGTTTGGTATCAAAGAATTTCGCAAATTATGGAAGAAGACATTTAAAACTATTTACCAACTGTCATGTTTCGTGGGACACCCTGTATTTCCCATAGTCCTTTCCTGATATTTAGGATTGTATTTTGAAAATAAATTTAAAAAATAGGAACTATAATTTTCCTCCATACAAAAGTAATATTGTACTCAAGAGAAAACCAGGCCAATATTCATAAAAAACAGGAATTTCAAAAATTGCTTACATGGCTGCAATATGTAGTGCTTGGATTAACATCTAGTACAAGAAGAAGGCCTACCGCTGGGAAACTTTAAAATTTTTTGCTGCATACATACAGTTTATATATAGTGCTTGCTAAGTTCCACGGTGCGGCGTTGCCCAGGCTATTCATAGTTAATACCGCCGTTTACCCGCGCTTGGTTTTAAATAATTGCCCAGAGTTGCCCGTGAAATTTTTTAAAATTCGATTTTTTTAGTCTATCTATGTCAACCCTGGGGTACCCATGGGTTTCCCTCAAAAAATGTCAGCCAATTTGGTTCAGCCGTTTGGCCAGCTAAACCAATTTTCATAAGCTTAGGTTTATTAGTTTTTGAGAAAATGAATTATATATGGGGATAAGTCAGAAAAAATAATGATAGCATAAATATGAGTGTAGAGCATATATCATATAGATAGCGGCATAATACTGATCGCTTAATATCGATATTCACCGTGGGCATTTTTAATTTGAGGATCTATGAAAATTATACCCATGATTGAATCTCCCTTCAGACTTCAACCCCCGACAGGGTACAATTACCATGGGGAGATATCAAATAAAAACTAAATCAATCTAAAGATTAACAATTGATCTCTATATCCACAATAAAATAGTTTCCAGATCAGATGAACCATCCCTTATCATGTAGTTCATGTGGTACACCTGGCAATTGTAGATAAATAACCAAGCGTAAAAATTGCTTTTGTATTGTAGAACTAATACCGCATTTGACACATCATAAGATTTCATTTCTACTCACATTTGGTTTGGCATAGTGTCCACATGCCGCTGATTGTTTTCTTGGAGAGATATTCTGGAGAGGAGTTTTTTCCAAACATAACAGTTCTATTCTGGTTCTTGAATCTTTCCTCAGTGTACAACCTTAATAAAATAGTTTTATTCTGGTTCTTAAATCTTTCCTCAGTGTACAACCTTAATAAAATAGTTCTATTCTGGTTCTTGAATCTTTCCTCAGTGTACAACCTTCATAAAATAGTTCTATTCTGGTTCTTAAATATTTCCTCAGTGTACTACCTTAATAAAATAGTTCTATTCTGGTTCTTGAATCTTTCCTCAGTGTACAACCTTAATAAAATAGTTCTATTCTGGTTCTTGAATCTTTCCTCAGTGTACAACCTTAATAAAATAGTTTTATTCTGGTTCTTGAATCTTTCCTCAGTGTACTACCTTAATAAAATAGTTCTATTCTGGTTCTTAAATCTTTCCTTAGTGTACAACCTTAATAAAATAGTTCTATTCTTGTTCTTAAATATTTCCTCAGTGTACAACCTTAATAGAATAGTTCTATTCTGGTTCTTGAATCTTTCATCAGTGTACAACCTTAATAAAATAGTTCTATTCTGGTTCCTGAATCTTTCCTCAGTGTACAACCTTAATAAAATAGTTCTGTTCTGGTTCTTGAATCTTTCATCAGTGTACAACCTTAATAAAATAGTTCTATTCTGGTTCCTGAATCTTTCCTCAGTGTACAACCTTAATAAAATAGTTCTGTTCTGGTTCTTGAATCTTTCCTCAGCGTACAACTTTAATAAAATAGTTTTATTCTGGTTCTTAAATCTTTCCTCAGTGTACAACCTTAATAAAATAGTTCTATTCTGGTTTTTGAATCTTTCCTCAGTGTACAACCTTAATAAAAAAGTTCTATTCTGGTTCTTAAATCTTTTCTCAGTGTACAACCTTAATAAAAAAAGTTCTACTCAGGTTCTTGAATCTTTCCTCAGTGTTACAACCTTGATAAAATAGTTTTATTCTGGTTCTTGAATCTTTCCTCAGTGTACAACCTTAATAAAATAGTTCTATTATGGTTCTTGAATCTTTCCTTAGTGTACAACCTTAATAAAATAGTTCTATTCTGGTTCTTGAATCTTTCCTCAGTTTACAACCTTAATAAAATAGTTCTATTCTGGTTCTTTAATCTTTCCTCAGTGTACAACCTTAATGAAAAAAGTTCTACTCAGGTTCTTTAATCTTTCCTCAGTGTACAACCTTGATAAAATATTTCTATTCTCGTTTTGAATCTTTCCTCAGTGTACAACCTTGATATAAAAGTTTTAATATTGTTTATGAATCTTTCCTCAGTGTACAACCTTAGTACAATAGTTTTAATATTGTTAATGAATCTTTCCTTGAAACAATAGTTCTATTCTGGTTTTTGATCTTTCCTCAGTTTTCTTTTTATACATACTTTTTTCTATGCCACTTTTTAAAATGGAATACGCATTTGAACCCTTTTGGAACAAAGATTGAATTGCCAGAATTTTCAAAATTACCTCTAACATTTTTACTTTTGTGTTTAAAGCTTTCATTTGATAGTAGGACTTTTGCATTTTCCGAATGTGAATAATTTTGTGGAAAAGTGCAGCAATAGCATCAATTTTACATGCTTGCATTTGAACTTCTAATACAGGCAATTTAAATTTTGTTTAAAATAGTGAATTTAAATTACAGGAAATATCTAATGGGCAGTCATTTTTTTTGCTACATTCTCTGCATGCTTGTAACTTTAGACCTTTCATCATATTTACAGGGTTTTCCACTAAATGGGATTTTCCCATCCGGGCTTTTACAAACATAGGACGTCTCCGACTGTGCCCGTCCTTTAATGTACGCGGTGAAACACGACCCCTGTTAGGCGAAAACTAAATTTAGATAATATGCTGACACATTACTTTTTCTTGCGGTCAAACACTATAAAACATTTTATACAGACCTTTTTAATAGAAACCAGAGTTGAAAATATCAATTTCCAGAGAGAAAACGATAAATTATTACCTTATTGGCTTGAACGAAGGTTCAAGGGGTACTTTCTAACTTTAACATGGATAGTCACTTGAAATATAAAGAGTAGGCATTAGGATTAATACGAAAAACCAGACGCCTCAATTGGGTTCAATAAGAAGCCATAGAATGTCGTCTTTTCTATAATTTAAAAACATTTTAGGACTTTTAAGCATTTCCATCACCAAAAACTTGCGTTTTTTACATAATTTGCCTTTAGAAATGCATAACTTTATTATCTTTCTAGATAAACTTTATCTTAACACAGATTTCAATGTAATTGGTTAAAAAAATTTGGCTACTTAAAACCAAGGTTTTTTTGGGCCTTGCTCACGTTACTGGCCTAAAATTCTGTTTTAGACTATTATAAAACTATACTTAATGACATCTAACAAATTTTGCTTTAATATATGTGGTATTTTTCATCCTAATGAGATGCGTAACAAAATCACAATTTAGCTTTATTTTAGCAGTAGAGCATCTTATCCTATTTTCCCACCATTTTTAGCACGTACAATGATTAATATATTTGATAACTAGAGTTTTAATGTTGATTGTTTGAATTTAAAACCAATACTGCAGCCAATGACGTCATATAAAAGGTTACAGAGCGTACACACTATTCGGATAAATTCCTAATGCCCTATCTTCTACTATTCTACCGTTTTTGCTTGAAATCACTTTTTAAGAAACTCTTGTTGTTGTAAGAGTTAGTTTTCCTAAATGTCCAATTTGTTTCAAGCTTAGTGGGACAGAAAGCTCAAACAAAAATAATGTTTGAAGTTTAGAATTATAATTAAATTCCAAAATAGAAATGAATGAAAATTATGCAGGAGGACAAATGTTTGCAGTTTGTTATTTTTGCAAATAAAAAATGGAACAAGGTATTTTTCAAATATTTGCTTAATTTGTTGGTAAAAAAAGATAATAAAGTAAAATGCGTTTGGTTCATTTAGAAATTAAATTTTAGTCAATCATTTTTACAATTTTTAAACATACAGAATTTTCTTTTTAGAAGTTTTTTTTTATAAAAAAACGCATACACCGACACAATTTATGTTTGATAGGTCAAATGTCAGGGACAAGGGCAGAACTTTTAAATCAGCATAAAGGGACCGTTCACTCATTTGGGTAATTTTATGGTAAACTAATTACTTTTCAAAGATATCTATGACCAGAGAAAAAGCAGATTTATCGTTTAGAATTCCAGCGGAAAGGCATGATACCTTTGCATAGACACTATATAAACGTTTTTTTCAGTAACAGCAGCCCAATAAAATCTAAAATCATATTTCAATGACATCATGTGTCAGCCATTATATAATAAAATATAAAAACATATGATTTTAGAAGTAGCAAAAAATTATAAACTTTTTTCGTGTTCAAACATGATTTAACAAATTAACACGTTTTTACAAAGACGACTTTCTTTCTCAGACAAACAGATTCCAAGATTCCAACTCTGAAATAAATCACGAGTATTCCTGGGGAAGTAGGGAAAACGTATAAAACCATCAAATGTTTATAATAAGTTATATTTTGAAAATAGACAATTTAAAAACAATTTTGAAAAAATTAACCGTATTCCTGCTGGGGGGGGGGGGTCAATTTGACCCCCCCCCTGTAGTTTTTTTTACATAACTCAAAAAGTATTGGTCTGAGGCTGTTGAAATTTTCTGACTTTTCCTACATACCCAAAGCCCTCCCTTTAGGCCTAAAACCGGGCTTTAATTCTAACTGCCTGAGTCCTCAGGCACACTGCCTGAATGACTGCTTTTGCCTGTAGCAAACTAAATCTTTGTTTTGACCCACTTTCACTTGTCAGATTTTGATAAAATTTAGCTTTTTGGAAAGCCTATGACATAAGGAAACGGATTGCACAAGTTTTGCGAAAAAAATAGCAAATTTTTTGCAAACAACCTGTCAAAGGAAATTTGCACATTTTTAGTTTTTCTTGATTAAAAATCAGGTTATTTAAAATTTTGCAAAAATTTTTGCATATTTGAAATGGCATGGTCAAGGGCTTTTCAAAAATGTATAATTTGTCATTTTTTGGACAAATTTTTTTTGCAAACATTTTACTATAAAACTGGATTTTGCGATAAAAAATTCAATTTTCGCAAATTTGCAAATTTTTTTGCAGATTCTAAAAGTAGAGCACAAGAGCTTTCTAATGATGTATCATTTGTCATATTTGGACATAAAACATGGGATTTAGAGGGGGGGGGTCAAATTGACCCCCCCCCCCAGCGTATCCTGGTTTTTAAGTACCCCAGCAGGGATAGGGTTAAAGATGTCTACAATTAACTATTGAAGATACTACAATTTAATTTAATATGTAAAAAATTTTAAAAGTCAATGACTATGACAAAAAGCAGCAAATAGTGTCTATGCAAAGGTATCATACCTTTGCGCTGGAATTCTGAATGATAAAACGGCTTTTTCTCAGGCCACTGCAGTTGTCTTTGAAAATTAGGACTAATACCAATAAAAGGCTATAGGCTATTTAGTTTACCCTCAAATTACCGAAATAAGTGAACGGTTTTTCAAGGAAGGGAAATATAAACGCTTCCGTTAGAGCAATAACAGACAAAGACAATGTGTCTTTGCCCCAAACTCTAATTTTCTCATCCATAAAACTTTGCAACTTGATTGTGTAAACCTTTGCAATTTCAAACTTATATTATTTGATCTAACAAAATTCTAAAGTTTGAAATATCTTAATGGTCTATCACATTGCGTTGTAAAGATAGAGGGATTAGGAATCAGAGTTTGTGGCAAAAACTCAATTCCTTAGACTGTGCTATGGATTCTCTGGTAGTTTTTCTTTAAATTTATTATTCTTTCTTCTCATCTATTTTTCATCTTTTACTAAACAATGTTTATTATCCTGGCTTCCTAGTATACAGAGATAAAGACATCTATGTGAAGGTAATGTCGACTGGGTCGACTTTGAAGTGTCAAAACACCATGTCCTTTGAGTTAACCTCACGAATTTAACAAGACACATTTGTAGCCCTGGACATTTACATTTTTAAATGATATAGCACTTGTTTCTGGTATTAGCGTTAATGAAGTAATTGGCAAAATTTTCATCGCTTTTTGCAAGTGAGCTTGTAACCTTTTTGGACTCCTGTGTTTAGTATTGCTGGAAACATTTACACTAATCAGTGAATATAGTTAGACCTGGGCAAACAAATGGTTTAGTACAGGGTTACACACAAAGAGAAATAATTTTTAACCTTATTCGAATCAAACTTTCAGTTTAGGATAGAATAGTTTAAGGTTTAGAATATATCTTTGATTTAAACTTATTCTTCTGTTTTGAGTTAACCCCTGTATCCTGCTCCATACATTTTCTTTGTACCATAATTTTCCCTTTATTCTGCTGTATTAACCTTGTATCCTATACGTCCCATTATATTTCTGTATTAATCCTGTATCTCCTGTATCCTATACGACACTTTATTCTTCTTTATTAACCCTGTATCTCCTGTATCCTAAACGTCCCTTTATTCTTCTGTATTAACACTGTATCTCCTGTATCCTATACGTCCCAATTTATTCTTCTGTATTAACACTGTATCTCCTGTATTCTATACGTTCCTTTAATCTTCTGTATTAACAATGTATCTCCTGTATCCTATACGTCCCTTTATTCCTTTGTATTGGTCCTGTATCTCCTGTATACGGACATACGTTCCTTTATTCTTCTGTATTAACACTGTATCTCCTGTATCCTATACGTTCCTTTATTCATCTGTATTGATCCTGTATCTCCTGTATCCATACGTTCCTTTATTCTTCCGTATTAATCCTATATCTATTGTATCCTATACGTCACTTTATTCTTCTGTGTCATACCTGTACCTCTCTGTATCCTATATATATATATATATATCCCTTTATGTTTCTGTATCAAACCTGTATTACCCTGCATCCTTTTCCCAGTATCCTATACATCCCTTTATTTTTCCTGTAAATTCTGTATCTTACAAGGTGTTATATGAAGTAGACTACAGGATAATGTCTGTATTACAAATAATCTGTATATAAATCTTTCCCAATCCTCCTCCGATTCCACCCCCCACCCCCCCATAATCCTCAGAGGCACTTGGTTTAGTTTTTATTGTAGGAATTATATCAGATCCCTGTAAAGTAAATGGAAGGAATTTCAAATTTGGACGGATAAGGGGGAGGGGGATATTAAAAGAATAAAAATGACTCAAACAAATTAAATATGTAAGTTAAAAATTTATATTGCATAACTTTACGTATAATGCGAATTAGTTTTAAATTTGTATTTGTTTTAGTTTTATTACAGCAGTAAAGCAGATTATTGACCAATGTTATTGTATGTAAGCATACATATTACATATATGTATCTTGTGGTAATAACGCTAAAATTCATTTGTTTAATGGGACAGTGCAGAGATATATATCATACTTGTATAGTCCTACCGGTATATGAATATATATATATATATAAATTCTCAGGATACACAAGTTTTATAAGAAAAGAGGGCTTCGTAGGATCCTGATACAGGGACAAAGAATACATGAGGATACAGGATTAAAACATGACTAATTAGAATTCGGGGGATACACAAAGAAACAGGATTTAAGCATGACTAAATAGAATACAAAGGATACAGGAGGATACGGGATTTAAACATGACTAATTAGAATACAGGTGATACAGAAGGTTACAGGATTATAAACGAATAAATAGAATACTGAAGAGATACAAGAGGATGCAGGATTTAAGAATGACTAAGTAAGATACAGTGGATATAGGAATTAAACACAAAAAATAAAGGGATACAAAGAATACTGGGACAATGGATACAGGTTTGATACAGGAGCATAATAGCATAAATAGGATAAAGAGATACAGGGGGTACAGTAGCATAATGGGATATATATTTATAGAATACAGGGACAAGGATACAGGGGGTACAGAAGCATAATAGGATATATATATAGGATACAGGGACAATGATACAGGGGGTACAGAAGCATAATAGGATATATATATATATATATAGGATACAGGGACAATGATACAGGGGGTACAGGTTTAATACAGGAGCATTATGGGATATATAGGATACTGTGACAAGGATACAGGATAGAACAAATTTTATAAAGAATATAGGATGCAGAATAAAGAATACAGTGGCCGAATTAAAAGAATTTGAGCGGCGGTTTAAATTTAAGCCGCATCTTAAATATGGTTGGTTCCACTTAAAATTTTAAACCGGGTTTTGGTAGATTTAAATCGCGGTTCAAATTCTTTAAATTCCATCTCAGGATACAAAACATCAGGACCAAATTTTGGTTTGATTTTTCAACCACCCCGACTTGTTAACTATAATGTAGACAGTAGAATAAATATCAGAAATTACTGTAACTTTATGCACTGCCACTGTTTTATTTTATTTTATCCGGACTTTAAATTTTAAATTCTTTTCAATATTCTGTAAAATCAAGACTGCTGGAAACCACTGGCGAGAAAATTCTATTAAACTGTGAAGGATCTGTTTTATATTTTAACCGGATCCTTCAAAAGTAATCTAAATTCCTCTTAAGTTTTCTGTATTTATATTATATACATCAGACAAGCAAAACTATGTGAATTTTTTTCAGTGCAAATAACAATAATTATAATAATTTCCAATAAAGTTATTGTTTAAATTAGTTTATAAAAAAAAATAATTTTATCTTTCTCAATTCTCAAGGCTTAAGGCTATTGTACACATTTAATGTAAAAGGCAGGCTAGGGGAAACCAACAGAGCCCAAAACTTAAGACAGGGTATCATTCTGAAAACCAGTTTTAAAACCCGGATTTCACAAATGGGGTTAGGCAGTTTTGTGCATTTTAGTATTTTTGTTGAGAAATATTATTTTTTTTTGACCCCCCACACTATTATGAAATAATATTTCGCCCCCCCCCCCTAGCAAAAGTGCTTGCTGCGCCCCCGCACATAGATCTTAAAAGCCTACATTTGTTGCATAAAACGTGCTATATCGACTTTATACTGGACGGGTAAATCCTTGTACAGGTTCGGATCATGCAACAAGTGGAGCAATGTGACTGATTATACTGGACGGGTAAATCCTTGTACAGGTTCGGATCATGCAACAAGTGGAGCAATGTGACTGATTATACTGGACGAGTAAATCCTTGTACAGGTTCGGATCATGCAACGAGTGGAGCAATGTGACTGATTATACTGGACGGGTAAATCCTTGTACAGGTTCGGATCATGCAACGAGTGGAGCAATGTGACTGATTATACTTAATCTTTTTTGCATGTAAGATAAAAAATACTAATTTAGTTACAGGTTAGTGCTCTTTAAAGGGATTAACCAATAACCAAACAAAAGTTTTCATTTTCAATTGAAATTCGATTGCTTCAATTCTTAAGACGTTAAAAGCTAATAACGTGCATTAAACCTACACTACAGTTTTCCCAACAAGATAAAAGACACAATAAAACTTATAAGTCTATGTTTTCTTCTTTTATTTGTGTTTACAGAACCCAGGCTTGTAGCTGGTTGGATTCTTGTGTTTTTTACAACATAAATATATTATTTAGTTTAGTTGTTTTTGGAGTATTTATATATTTATCAAGCAAGGGATGTTTTCCTCACATTTATAATAATATGTCAATCTTGTGCCAAAGCCAGGACAGCAAATATGCAAATCTTCTAATAGCCAATAAATAATTCACTACCAAAAATATACTAAAAAGAGTCCAAGATTCCAGGAAAAAAAGATACTAAAAAGACGACTTAAGATTACTGAACAAAAACAAGAATTAAAAATAATACGCTTTGGCCAAACAACAAGAGATAAAACTAAAAATGTTTAACAAAAAAATGTTTTTTATTGAATAAAATAAATCAANGTATTTTAAAACCAGCTAGCTCCATGTACGTATTTTAAAACCAGCTAGCTCCATGTACGTATTTTAAAACCAGCTAGCTCCATGTACGTATTTTAAAACCAGCTAGCTCCATGTACGTATTTTAAAACCAGCTAGCTCCATGTACGTATTTTAAAACCAGCTAGCTCCATGTACGTATTTTAAAACCAGCTAGCTCCATGTACGTATTTTAAAACCAGCTAGCTCCATGTACGTATTTTAAAACAGCTAGCTCCATGTACGTATTTTACAACCAGCTAGCTCCATGTACGTATTTCTTACAAATTTCTCTGATTTCTCAATTTCCAACTGTGGTTGATCAGCAATTAAACTAATGAAAAGAAATATAACTAATAAATCCTTTTAAAAAAGTTATTCTCACCAGCAAGGGGTAGATATTGCTAAAATAAGGGAAATAGCGGCAGAACAAGCTGTTGCTGGTGTCAGTAATCTTAAAGCTTTGACAGCTGTACTATCAGCAGCTTCAAGCTGCTCCTCAGGATGCAGCTGTTCCTCTAACGGATGCTGCTGCTGTAGCTGTGACTGTTGATGTCCCCTCCTGTCGCTGTCAATTCAGAAATTATTATTTTTCTTGAAAATAATGGATTTATTAATGAATTTAAATTTCCAATGTTTGAGCATACTGCAGCAGACAGACAATAGGTAGTCAGACAGAAAGTCAGGCAGATAGTCAGGCAGATAGTCAGACATATTGTCAGGCAGAAATTCAAACAGATAGTCAGACAGATAGTCAGACAGATAGTCAGACAGATAGTCAGACAGATAGTCAGACAGATAGTCAGACAGATAGTCAGACAGATAGTCAGACACATAGTCAGACAGATAGTCAGATAGATAGTAAGGCAGATAGTCAGACAGATTGTCAGACAGATTGTCAGACACATAGTCAGAGAGATACCCAGACAGATAGTAAGGCAGATAGTCAGACAGATAGTGTAAGATAGTTAGTAAGACAAACAGATATATAAAGATTAAAGATAAAGAGGCAGATAGATAGTATAATACAAACAGATATAAATATGAAGAGGCAGATATGTAGTTAGATAGGCAGACTGCAGGTATCATTACTGACATATTACAACTTTAATGTAGTTTCCAGGTTTCAAGCACTTTTAATGTCTGCAAGGGAGCTGGGTTGGGTTGTTAAAAATGGAAGGAGGCTAAGTATAATTCCACTTTTTGCGTGTTAAAGATTGATACGTACAAATCTAAGAAATTACAAATTGTCATCTTACATATTTTGTTGGAGCACTGGAGTCAAATTCAACTTTGTAGCATCATTGGTCAAATTTTGCTAGATGCAACTTATCATTCATGAACATTTCAAGAATTGAGCTACTTGAGTTGAATTTGGATCCGATGCTCCAACAAATTTTGTAAAATGAAAATTTGACATTTCTTAGAGCGGAACATTAGAAAGAATAAATGGAATTATTTTTTAAAATTTTTGCCTCTGAAAATCTAACAATTCGTGTTCCTTATGTCGTAAATATTGTACATGCTTAGACATTTCTATTCCTGTGCACTCTCACCAGCAACCCTCACTTCCTTTAATTCAACCATTTTTCCTGAAATATTTAAAATCAGGTTCAACTTATCATTTGTCAAAATGAAACAAGATGATAAAATATTCAAATCTTCACATTTTTTAGGGAAAATTTAAAATAAAATATTCAAATCTTCCCATTTTTTAGGGAAAATTTAAGATAAAATAGATAAGCGAGTAAGGGGTGGTGATTCCTAAAATTTGAATATAACGATTTAAATTAAAATGCTTTTTTGACCCCAAATAATTTACACGAAAAACGTTATTGTATTAAAACTTATTTCTTTTTTAAGATCTATTTAACATTAATATATTCTGATTTGAGAAAATTTTGGACCGAATAAATTTGAGCTGAACTTGAAGGTAATTAACAGCGACGTAGTTCAAATTCATTAATTTCGACCCCTGGTCTACTATAAAGGTCCCTGATCTACTATATAGGACCAGCTGTTGTAATATATAGGTCCCTGGTCTACTGTATAGGTCCCTGCTCTACTATATAGGTCCCTGATCTACTGTATAGGTCCCTGGTCTACTATATAGGTCCCTGATCTACTATATAGTTCCCTGATCTACTATAAACATCCCTGCTGTACTATATAGGTTCCTGATCTATTACATAGGTCCTTGATCTACTATATAGGTCCCTGATCTATTATATAGGTCCCTGATCTACTATATAGGTTCATGGTCTACTTACTATATAAGTCCCTGGTCTACTATATAGGTCCCTGATCTACCATTTAGGTTCTTGATCTATTATATAGGTCCCTGGTCTACTGTATAGGTCCCTGCTCTACTATATATGGTCCCTGATCTACTGTATAGGTCCCTGGTCTACTATATAGGTCCCTGAAATACTATTTAGTTCCCTGATCTACTATAAAGATCCCTGCTTTACTATATAGGTCTCTGGTTTATTAAATAGGTTCCTGATCTACTTAATAGGTCCCTGATTTACTATATAGGTTCCTGATCTATTATATAGGTCCCTGGTCTACTATATAGGTCCCTGCTCTACTATATACGTTCCTGATCTATTATATAGGTCCCTGATCTGCTATATAGGTCCCTGATCTATTATATAGGTCCCTGATCTACTGTATAGGTTCATGGTCTACTTACTATATATAGGTCCCTGGTCTACTATACAGGTCCCTAGTCCACAATATAGGACCCTGATCTACTATACAGGTCCCTGATCTACTATATAGGTCCCTGGTCTACTATGTAGGTCCCTGATCTACTATACAGGTTCTTGATCTATTATATAGGTACCTGATCTACTATATAAGTTCCTGGTCTACTATATAGGTCCCTGATCTACTATATAGGACCCTGATCTACTATACAGGTCCCTGATCTACTATATAGGTCCCTGGTCTACTATATAGGTCTCTGTTCTACTATATAGGTCCCTGATTTACCATATAGGTCCCTGAGCTACTATATAGGTCCATCATCTACTTTATACGTCACTGATAAAGGTGCGGCCGGTTCAACTACTTGGAAAAAATTTAAATTAGGATTAGCTGAAACAACATCTTCCCTCGTTTATAAATTCCAACCTCCCTAAATAAAAAGGATTTTTGAACGACTTCCTGTTCTCTGAGAGAATTGAATTCTGTGCACTTTGGATTAGATAATTCCAAACTCTTTCTTTTTCTTGATTTAATTAGTTTATCCTAACAAGGGACTGACAGAAGTAAACAAGCTAACTATCTAGAAGCTGACNCTATCTATCTAGCAGCAGACCTGATCAATCAACTATTCTAAATATATCTATCTAACTAACGAAGTCATAAACTGATTTTAAATCTAACTTAAACTAACTACTTAATGCTTTCTGACGAATTAGTAAACTAAATCTCTAACATTCTATATTTTTCTATTTATTCTGTTATCCAGGAGAATATTCTAAGCTTGGTTTTGAGATTCTAAGTTAAGACATGGTCCATGTTGATTTAGCTAAAATCATAAAATAGGATCAAGTGCGGTTAAGCGGCGGGAGTAACTATGAGTATCCCAGGGTTACCCTTGCTTAATTCTCAAGCTATTATATTATATATAGTTAAGTAGCGGTTGTTAACTAATTAACAGACCAAACAAACCAATTCCTAAGCATCTAAATAGTTCAAAATATGAAACTAACTAACTAATTCACCAAATATTTATTTAACTAGATATCATTTTTTAATTCATCTCGACATCTAGCTACTTGACCTAACAGCTGTCAGATATTAATTCATCTAGACATCTAGCTACATGACCTAACAGCTATCATTTTTTATGCATCTAGACATCATGCTACATGACATAACAGCTATCATTTTCTATTCATCTAGACATCATGCTACATGACATAACAGCTATCATTTTCTATTCATCTAGACATCTAGCTTCATGACCTAACAGCTATAATTTTTTATTCATCTAGACATCTAGCTACATGACCTAACAGCTATCAGATTTGAATTCATCTAGACATCTAGCTACATGACCTAACAGATTCAAAAAGCTAGGTAAATTAAAAGGTTTTGTATATCAATATTTGTTTGCACTCAACTATGGAGGTAAAGAAACTTTTAATTTTTTGGTTTTTTCCCATGCTCTAGTTTCGTAAACAATATTTTCATCTGTAAAAATATAAACTCACTCTTTTACCGGTAAAAAACAGTCGCTTCCATCTGCAAACTAGACATTATTGGCACGACTTTGTGACCTCGTAGAGAAGCATTTTTGTGAGATTATAAAGAAATTCAAAGCATGTTTGCTCTCCTTCAATGTTACATACAATCTCTTTAGTTACCAGGTGTTATTTATTTTATTTAAGGTGTTGTTACTCAATAGTTTGAAGTGGTTCGTGTGTTATTGTGCTAATCTTATATTTCCCAAATCAAATAATTCCCAAATTTTATTTTATTTTGTTAACAAACCTGAATTAATTGGCAGTATTGTAAATTGTTAATTAGAGATTTTTCACTTTTCATGGTTTTCAATACAATTTATTACTAATCTATAATTGAATATTGTACCATTATCTAGTAGTTTTATTAAACTGAGATGAATTTCCAATTCTTATTTATAGTTTTAAATTTATATAAGATTTTTTGGTTCAGGATTGTAATGTAACGTTGCATCCCTGGTTTCAGGATTGTAATGTAACGATGCCTCCCTGGTTTCAGGATTGTAATGTAAACGTTGCATCCCTGGTTTCAGAATGGTAATGTAACTTTGCATCCCTGGTTTCAGGATTGTAATGTAACGTTGCATTCCTGGTTTCAGAATGGTAATGTAAACGTTGCATCCCTGGTTTCAGGATTGTAATGTAACATTGACTCCCTGGTTTCAGGATTGTAATGTAACGTCGCAATCCAGGTTTCAGGATGGTAATGTAACGTTGCATCCCTGGTTTCAGGATTGTAATGTAAACGTTGCATCCCTGGTTTCAGGATTGTAATGTAACATTGACTCCCTGGTTTCAGGATTATAATGTAACATTGCATCCTTGTTTTCAGAATGGTAATGTAACGTTGTATCCCTTGTTTCAGGATGGAAATGTAACGTTGCATCCCTGGTTTCAGGATTTTTAAATTAATTTCTTACAAAACTTTGAAATTAAATGTTAATGGATGATAGTCACTTTTAAGAAAAGAAGAACTTCAAAGAAAGATTGATTTAAACTAAATTTCAAAGATATTTGTTACTTTCTTGCACCTTGATGAGGGGTGGAAAGCCAGCCTCAATAATTTCTAATTAATAATTTTTTTTTAAAGTGTCAAATCCTCAAAGATAAAACAATTTTTTAAGAAACGGGCCATGTTAGGGCATGAAATGAATATAAAATTTTTGCAAATTTTAAAAAAAAAAGTTTCAATTGAAAATTATAGTTTTCCAGTGTGATGTCTTTAAAAATGTTCACCTTTTTTACGCGCATTTTTAGATATTCCTGGTGTAGATTGCCGCAAATATAATTCCGAGTTTATAGAACTTTATTCTTTTTTGTTAATTTTAGTTAATTTTTTCGGGTGGTTCCATGGAAAAAATAATAGGCAGAGGTATGCCAAATATTTTGCTATTTATTTTATATTTTAAAGATTCCAACAAGATGTAATCATTGCAATACTTTAGTCTAACCATATTTGTTTTGCCCTAACGTGGCCAGATTTAAAAAATGGTTTTATCTTTAAGCATTAGAAACTTTAAAACACATAATAATCGATGGACGAGGATTTCGAGGTGGCTCGGACTAAAAATTGTTGTGGCTGGCCTTCACCCCCTCCTTTGATTACAGGTGGGAACTTTTTATCCCTTAGGATTGCAATAATCCGTTTCCTTTGTTATCCGAAGGATTAAGTTTTTTTCTCTTTGGATAAAAGATTCTAGAGACATTCTACAATAAAGAACCCATAAAAATTTTATTTCAGGGAAATTTGGTTTTCACGAAACAAACATTTTATATCTCCCAATTCAAAGTTTTCATTTTGGATATTAAGTTCTGGCGTATAGTAGAACACAATGATTACATTTTTTTAACGTTTTATCAAAATAAAACGCATTCTGCGGTAAACTTAAAATACCAATGATTCCAGGCCCGGATTATATATTTAAGATAGCTCACTCACACAGCTTATATTAACAGAAATTTAGAAAAAAAAACCATTTTCNCAGATATTCTTGCTGCAGAGGGGGATAGGGCACTCACTTTATATACAGGGCGAGTCAAAAAAAAGTGTGATTAGCGGCGTCTGGTGCAAAATTGCATATTTTTTGTGCAACTGCATGGTATTTTTTCAATATTTTTAGGAATTTTTTTTGGTACTCCAATGGCCCAAAAAAAGATCCACAATTTTTTTTCCCACAAAATCAAAAGTTCAAAAAAGCAAAAAAGTGTATAAATGTTATTTTTATCAAATTATAAGTTAATTTTCATTGATAATGTTATTTATTATGTTTAAAGGAACTTTTTTGTTAATGAAAATTAGAGTTTGATGCTCAGTTTCTTTGTAAACTACTTT